TACTTAAGAATATATGAATGTCCAAGAAGCATTTTACATGAGAGAAGATAATCTAAACCAAATCCCAGAGTGGTTTAATTTGTTTGAATATTTCTTAAACACCTTAAAACCCCTATTTTCATTTTTTTTTCTGATTTGTGCCATTGTAGGACTTTGTAGTATAAATTAAAACGTGTATTTTTCTTTTTGATTTAGAGAAGAGTATAATAATAAGATATTGTGTTTTTAGTTACACAGCTATACTTAATAATCCCTGCAAGAATATAATCAGCATCACCAACTGCCATATATTGGTAGCTGGAGTCCACCAAGAACCTTGCTCCCTGCACCGCATCATCTAAGCTGTTTTTAAAAAAGAACCCTCTCAAGGAAATCAGTTCATCTTCCTTATGTATTTAATCGGAAGAATACGTTTGGGGGATGGTTTGCTGCACTTCCCGTTTCAGCTAAATGAGCAAGGAAATTGAACTGAATGTGAAGCACACCATCAAATAGATCCTGTCTCCCTGCTTTTGTAAAGCACTTTCTTCCTGCCTCACATTAAACTAACAACTAGAAAGACGGTAATAGCAAGACCATATTGTCTCTCCAATTCAGAATATGAGAGACACCAGATGAAGCAGTCTGGCAAGGCTAAAAATGTTAGGTGTTATGAGATCTAGATCTAGATTTCTTCTGCTGTGTTAATTAAGTGCATAAATGTATGCAGAAGAAGAAACGGTATGTGTGCTGTGATATAATGTTTATTTTTTCTGCATATTGTGTGCAGCCTGAGCTGTTTTATTAACAAGATAAGTTTTTGGTTATAAAATATGGCTGATGGATATGGCCTAAAAATCGAATCCCCAATTTTTTTCCCCTACCAGATCTGATTAATCACTCATTTTGTACCGCTTAAGTTTAATAATAAAAATACAAATGACATATATTTCTTTCGAAAACTAGCTTTTTTTTCCAATTATCCCTTGTGGGAGGTGAGCTTAATTTAAAGGGAAAATAAACCTAGTTAAGAGCCCTGCTCCTCTCCCATGCAGTGCAGTGTTTCACTTAGACTTTGTCAGCAAATTAGAAACTGAAACAGAAACACAAAGCATCTAAAGAAATAAATAAAATACAGTTAATTATATAAGCATATTGACATAAAAAAAAAATTAAGTTGTAAATTAAAATGTAGCAAAGTATTGTTAAAGGAATACAAAGTTTGAAAGTACTTTAAGTATGAAATTATTACATATACCTTTCAATAAAAGATAAGTGTTTTTAATTAAGACTAATTTCATGTGAATGTGCTTTACCGGAGACATCAATGCTTATTGGTGCTTTATCTAACTAGTACTTTACCACTGTTTAAGCCATCACAAATAACGGTTAAATGTTTGTAACTGTGAGAAACTAAAATACATACATCTACATTATTACTTTTTGATCTATTTCCTACTGTAACTGTTACTGCACTATTACTGTAATTTGTTTTAGAGTGTGTCAGAATTCAAGTAAAGCCAAAAACTAACCAGGTCAAAACCATTCTATAAAACGGTTCTTTGACTAACAGGAAGGGTTATGTTAGGTGTTATTCGACCATAGCTTATCATATTACAGTTTTCTTCTCCATGCTACTGGACCAACTGCTCAGCTATCTGCTGGGATTGAATTGTTCTCTTTTTTCTTCTTTTATTTGAAACATGGTTGATCAGTCCATCTTTGTCGCAACCCTCTCAACCTCCCTTCCCCAAAACAAGGTTAGCTCACATATGCAATATGTATGTATGCTTGGCTCTTTCTATATATAGATAGTTTTGTATGAGATAAACAATGTGTGTGAATGAACAGAAGCCACAGTTGAAAATACATTATTTTATTACCCTCAATGTGTGGGAGAAAGTAGTTAATGTTCTTTTAATTCTACTAGCTTTTTAATTCCACTTGAACACAAAAGTAGCTGAAGGCCTGTAGTATCCAAACAACATAAGCATGATTCTAAATGCAAGAAAAAGGTTGTGTCAGTATAATCTGTAAACATATAAATATATAAGTGAAACAAAAAAAAGGAAACTTTTTAAATATTTAAACTTGTTTTTGAACCATGGATCTGTACTCTTATATTCAGAAGTGGCTTTCACATGGTATGATTAATTTCCTAGTGGGCCATTTTTGAATTAGGGTGAGTCACTGGGGCTACGGCTTAGTCTCATCTAAACTGCTCAGTGAGTGTGAGAGAGTGGACTGAAGCATTCAGCATTTGTGAAGGAGAGACATTAATCAGGACAGCTTAGTTTTACAAAAAACATTAAAGATGTTTATTACAAAATGAGCAAATGGATAATATGCAAATAACTTAAAATAGGTCAAATTGGGTGTGATTTCATTTTCAGCCTAAATGAAGAGCTAGACAAGTTGAACAAAACGAAAATGCAACACAGTTTGCACTCAGTTTAGTTAAACAGTGTATGAGTGATTATGGACTTTGTGATGCATGACACTCGTTTCACCCTAATAGCAGAAAATATACTTTTTCCTCACATGTACATCATTCATCATTATTTCTTAGTCGGGAGCTCTTGGCTGCCCTATGGCTGTCAGTGATCATTATGTTCTCTTTAAACCTAGAAATTAAAAAAGAAAACATTTAAAATAAAGGCTGGAGATTGAATACATCATTGTTTGAATATTTAGATTTATTAAATATTTGAAGGAAGCATGGACTTTATATTTCTGGAGTATAATGAGCTCCCTTGAACATCAGCTTCTTTCCTCTGGGACATGGTGATATATATAGGTGATAAGGTGATATATATATATATATACACACACACTATGCATGGGTCGGTTCTCTGCAGGTTAGTGACTGTTTGGTTAATTGGCATAATTTAATTGTCCTTAGTTGTGAGCGTGTGTGTGTGTCTCTGTGTTGCTCTGCGTCACACTGGCGACCTGCCCAGGATGTACCCGCCTCTAACCCAGACTGCAGGACATAGGCGACCCTGATGGAAAGAGTGGAAGAAAATGGATGATAAGATATATATATATATATATATATATGTGCATAAGTGTATCATGGTCTCTGGTTAATTAGGTTGTTTTGAAAACATCATTTTCTAAGATTACCGATATGTCATGCTTTAATTCACTTTATGAAATATAAAATTAAATCGATTTTTTTTTCAGCTATTTAGTCTCCACTGTGCCATTAGTAACTAAGCACTGCTGTAGGGTTTCACTTCCCAGGAGGTGGCATTAATTGCTCTGTTTACCTTTATGAGTGTTTACAAGCTTTTGCCTTTATTTTAAACCTTGTGCGGGTGTGGCCTTTTTTCTATTTGTTCTTTTTTCCAGTGAATTTAGAAAATTACTAAACATAATGAAATGACTGAGTTATTACTTTATAAAGAAAAAAAGTCCTTTGAAATAATTTTGATAATTTCTCAGCATATATGTTGTCACTGCTCAGCCAGATAATTATCCTTTCAGTATCTCACTTACATTGAAGTGGTAGCAAGGAATTGGAGAGGCACTCAGCTATGATTTTATTTGCATAATTGATGTCGCTCTAGTTTTTATACTGTAGATGAAGACGTATTACATCGCAGTTAGCATTGATTTGGCTTGTCTTTACAGAAGAAATGAAATGTGTTATGATTGTATTTCACCTCCTGCTGGCATCATGTGAGAAACGCATTGCAGTTCTATATTTACTTTAGGTTTATAGAACTGAGTCATTTGACAGCTAGTTATAACTGAGGGTGCTTCTTTACATACCTCCCTAACTAAGAAAATAAGCATTACACAATACATCTTAGAGCTGTTCAAACTATAAATTTGTCAAAAATGATAAAGTTTTTGCCAGCAGTTAACATTTAACATGCATATTGATGTCCATGTTTTAATGGCCCTGACACATAGCTTAGGAAAAATTTATTCATTCTAAGGTTTATTATAATTTGGAAGAATTGTTGATGTTGCTTTAATATTTCAGAGATCTTATCTCACTAAATCATCTATTTCATCATTTGAACCAATTTATACTAGAGGAAAACGCTCAACAACAACTCTGAAAGTTAGAAGAGGACAAGAACAAAAATTTTAAGCTGACAAGTCCTATATTTCACAGTTGAAAGGGTAATCCCAGATTAGCTGGATTCATCTTTTTGCTCGAATTGTAATGATAGTCATTATGACCAAACACATAATTTTTAGTTTTGTCAAAATGTAGAGTATGTCTTGAAAAATAATCACCCTGACTACATTCAAATTTTTTTTATCTATACTGGTTATTTTTAAAATAATAGATTCCTCCTTGCTTAGTGGCCTTTTTGGTTGGTCTAGGAGCTTTTTCAAGGTAGAAAAAGACACTCTCTTACTATTCTTTTCAAGCATTTTCACATGGTCTCTTTAATTTGTTCTGGTGTTGAGGCTGTATGCACACTTTGAAGTCAAAAAACACCAATATCTGGCACAAAGAACCAATGTCTTTTATGAAGAGGGAACAGCCTTGTAGGATTTAAGAGATAAGTTAAATTAATAGGTTTCACTATTATTTCTGTTATATTGCCTAAAATATGAAGTAGTGGATGTGAGATATAAGCTTAGAATACAATCTTAAATATGCTTCCATTTACCGAAAATGTTGGGAATCCCACATGTGATTTACAAACCCACATTTCACAAACTGAGCTTTCACAAATATAGTTAGGAAAGATAATTTTGGTGTACATAAGCTGTTAACAATAACAGCAATAAAATATGTTAACAATATGGGAAACGGTAGAATTTAAACAGTTATATATTTTTTGGCATCGCCGTTGGTATTTCTAATTTAACCAGACACATTATCAAAATGAATGAATTAATTAATTAGAAAACTTAAAAAATAAAAATTTGCATTGTAGGTTAGGTGAGCCATTCTGTGTTTGGATATGATTTAATCATACTTGAACCACAGTCCATCAAGTAGAAAAGCATCGTTAAAAGTCAATTTGGCCAAAGTATCGTAGAAGCATGTAGATTAAAGGATGAATGTGCATATAATATTTTCTTGCAGAAATTGTCCTCTTTCTAAAGAGATTTTAGAAAGCGGACTTTTCCGTCTATCACAGTCCTGTTTTTGCAGAAGCAGTGGAAAAAAAGAATTGGGGATCCCCTGCCATTTTTGTTTCTCTTTGTGATAGTTGGCACAGGCTTGCTGTCTACAGATCTGCTCCAGTTCGACGTTAACAGCCAGCAGCCTCTCCTGAATCTTGGCTCAGGCTGTGAGGGTATCCATCTGTGTCTGTCTGCTTGTCAATAGAGCCTTATTCTTCATCAGGACATGTGTAACCAGCCAAATCCACATAAGCTCATTATTAGAGGTACAACAGAACTGAGCTCAAGAGCAGCTTGTTGTTTTGCGTCCAATTACTGTTTGTGCAAAACTGCTATGGATGTTGCCCAGTCTCCCCAAGACCGTTGAAGGTAAACAGCTTGGGAAAAAAAGTCATGCAGCAAAGAAAAAAGAGGCTTTGATGCATTAAAGCTGCTAAGCACAAAACACAGAAAATGTGTATGAAGGATTGAAAGCATCAATGTAAGAGAAAATAATATGAGTAAAGTAGGATTTTTTTTTTTTTTTTTTTGTAGCTCATTACATAAACTGTAAATTTGATCTTGAAGATTCTTATTATTGTACAGGGATTGTCATTGACTGGAAGTTGTACTTCCAGTGGTGTTTTCAAAAGGGTTATTATAAACACCTACTGGATATACCTGCAGACCTGCTAAATGAAACTGTTTTTCAAATAATTAAAAAAAACAATGATGTCATCTACACTTGTTTAGTCACCCAAACCAGGTTTTGATCAGCTCTATTTTTACTATTGTCTTGTCAGAATTCGTTAGATTACTTTAAAAAGCTTTTACTTACCAACGGAGACCATACCTGATTTCATTTTACTTAAAGAATTTCATTGATTTGAATTTAATAATAGTTACAGATATAAAGATTATGTCCACTGTTCCTGCAAAGAAACTAAAATAAAAACTATTCAATTGCTCAAGCAATTACTGCTTTTTACAAAAGACACTGAAATATGGAGAAGGGAATGTTACGGGAAAAATTCCTTATTATTATTTTACTTGATTGTTCTGTAAGTTATATAAATCTTATAGTAACTCTGCAGGTGATTAATTACTTGGAGAACCACAGAGCTAATCGGTTAGTTGGTCCCTAATTTCTCAAACAGCATGTTTACAGAGCCTTTCTAAAGCCAATGCCTTAATAATTGAAAGTAATGAGTGCTTTCTTTGTGCTAACTGCATTCCATTCAAGCCTATCAACATCTCATTGTGAAAGCATTTAAATCTTATCTTTTAAGTTATAAGATTGTGATCCCATCAGTACTGTAAAAAAACATGTCTAAAGGGTTTTAAATAAGTTTGTGTAACAACATGTAACATTCCCTGAAACCTAATAAAACAAAATTATCCATAATTAACACACGAGACCAGATATAAATGTCCAATTCATTTGAAATGGGTGTTTTATTAATGCTCTTGTAACTTTATCTCACTATCCTCCTTGCCATGAAGTGCTAAATTATTCATGACAGTGAATAGAAACAAATCCTTTAGAACCCGGAAATAGCGGGTATTGGCCATGGTACTGTTCATCTTCCCTTTTCTGTCTATGTGTTTTCTTCACACCACAACTTTATCAAGTTGCCTTTTGACAGAAGGTAAATATGTTGCATATGTGTTTGTTTATTTCTTTTTTTCCACAAAGCTATTGAAGCTTCATGAAGTTCTAGCCAACAAAATGACACAGTCCCTGCTTTTTTCCCTTCAACAGGAACACTTTACAGCAGAATGCAAATTTAAGGAGTCGGTGTTTGAGAACTACTATGTGACATACTCCTCCATGATCTACCGACAGCAGCAGTCAGGCAGAGGCTGGTACCTCGGTCTGAACAAAGAAGGAGAAATCATGAAGGGGAACCATGTCAAAAAGAACAAGCCAGCAGCCCACTTCCTTCCCAAACCTCTGAAAGGTTGGTCTGCACATATGATTTGTTACACTTCTATTCTTTACTGTTAAGGTTCTAGTCACGCTTGTTCAGTGTCAGTTCATACCATGGATCATGCTCCACACATTTATATAGGGGAGTCAAGAAGTATGTGTACCCTTACCAGTTTCTCTTTTTTCTTTTTTTTTTCTTTTTTGCACTTAAAATGTTCATTATCCAAGCTGTAATTAAGGGAATACAAAAATGCAAAGTAAATACGAAATGCAATTTTTACATTTTTTTCTTTTTTTTTACTTGAAGCAAAAAAAGCAATGCAAAGAAATCTGTAATAATGAAATCCCCATAATCATTCATGAAAAAACATGAATGTGTTGGAAAGGCAAGTTCAATTTCTCTTGTCACATGAAGGCCTAATAGTTAGCTAGATCTGTAAAGTCACCATTTACTGTAAAACAACATTGTTAAAAAAAGGATTAAAAAAATCTAATGGAATTATACATCATGTCCTGCATAAAAACAAAGTAAGAAAGAGAAGTAACTTATAAAGCAATTCTCACATATTTCTTTGGAAGGGATCACAAAGCCCCTATAAAGACTTTAGGAGTCCAATAAACATATGTTCCTTGATGTGCTGGAGATTTACACACCATTTACACATTAAAAATTACAGGATGATAAATGTTACACAAGTCTCGGTTTATACAAAAAACTAAACAACTATCAAGGAATAAAAAAAAAAAACATTTACAATGCATAGCTAATGAAGGTAGCAGCAATACATGTCTGCCATGTGATCTGTGGTAAAACCAAACCATTTCAGACTTACAGTGAACATGGCAGCAATACTGTAATAGTGTGAGCCTGCATTACCATCTATAAATAGCTTTAACTGAAATCACACAGTCTGCACTCCATCCAAAAACAGATAATGGACAATATTTGATTATTGGTTTACCAAGCTTTGTGCATTCACTTTTATTTACTTTTAGGATTGTCCAAAGAATAAACCCAAACGTTTAATGTGGCTTATTTTTATTTGAATGATTCTCAGACACAGCAACTTGTTCTGTTTTAGAAATGTGTTCCATAGGGTCATAGTCTGTTGCAGGTCCTTTGCAGAATGAGGTAGTCGGTGTATATAACCAGAAGCTGCATGTACAAAAGCGTTCAGCACTTTGTATAATAGCGCCAGCGCTTTTTTTTTTTTACTAAACCAAATTAAAGAAAACCCCACCCGTCCATGAAATGTGTGTGGTAGCTCTGCTTCCGAAAAGATAGACAGCAGCTCAAAAAGAAGACAGAAGGGTTGTGTTCGCTATCGAAAAGGCCACAGCCCTTTCATCTTCAAAAAGACACTGCTTTTACCTGTCAACAGAGACAGAAGACAGAAAGAGTCTTTTTACCGTGATAGAGAAAGTCCTGTGCTGTTGGCTCTTATTTTAAAAGTTGCCATGGAGCTTTTTTTATTTTTGTTTTACTATACATACAACATATTTTTGTCCTTGTAAACATATAGTATGTAGCTTTAAATTATGGTTTCCATCCATCATTCCATTTAAATACAGTCCAATAGTAACAGGCATTTTTTAAGGTGTGTCCCTTTTACCTAAAAGCTTTGTTTGATCCATTGCATAGCCTTAAAACAGAAGGCTAACTGTGACCACTCTTTTCTTCCTGTGTCCATTGCTTTCTCATGTGAGCTTTTATTTTTCTGATGCAGTAAAGTTACTCTTTCCGCAGTGTTTTTTTTTTTATTAAGAAGTGACAGGAAATACTTTATAGGGTTGTTTTAAAGATAAAGCCCCCCCTGTGGAGGAGTAATTAATGTTATCTATCCTTGTTCATTTTAAACAGTTAACATCTATAGCTTTCCATGTTATAAAAGATCAAAATAATTACCTATACAATAGCTGCATTAATAGAAATCTTTAGTATGTTGACTTCTTGTGGCGTCCTAAATGAGTCCAAAAATTTAGTGCATTGCCTATTGGCAGAGTGGGCAACAAACAAGAAGCTTTGCATGGATGCTCATATTAAAAACTACTGAAAAATGAATAAACAAAAAATAAACGTAAAGCCAGTTTACAGAGTGGCTCCTGCTTTGCGGCTGTGTTCATTAAAGCATGGTGGAATCAATCACCTGTCAAGTGTTTGGTTTTTCTTCATATAAATCTGCTTTTTTTTTTTTTTTTTTTTAAAGCTGTTCACACTTTCAGGCAGTTTTCAAACATCTGGCATGTCAGTTGAACACTTTTACCCCAGTATGTTTTTATGTCCTCAGCAGAGGGGTGTCAACCTGTTCACGAGAGTGCACAATATGCTTTCCATTAGCTGTGTTATCGCTCAACATTTTTTATTAATATTTTGACTGTGGATTCATCTGAGCTTTGCTTTGCCCTTTTAATTGAGCCCTCTGTGTCAAGTTGAGAGGAGGTTTCACAGAGACACACACAGACGTACAACCATACACACTCATACCTAAGGACAATTTAGAGACGCCAATTAACCTGACCGTCCGGATTACCCAGAGAGAACCCACGCATGCACAGGGAGAACATGCAAATTCCATGAAGAAAGACCCTGGGACAGTAATCAACTCAGAACTCTCTTGCTTTAAAGCAGCAGAGCTACCCACTGCCCACCAGACATAGTCCAGCCCTCAGAGATAATTCAGTCAAATGATATTGACTGGTCCATGTTTGGTTTATTTCAGTGTTTCAGCTTATTTTTCAATGAGCAAATTGGTTTGGCTTAGACTATTAAAAACTGAATAATCTTAGTTAACTTTATTCTCTTATCAATAATTTACTCAGCTTCATTAAATGCCTACTGTATGATGACTGTACAACTCCTGAGGTTAATTAAGGACTGAACTCAAGTAAAGTCTCCCTTTGGCAGTCTTGCTGGGTCCAAAAGCAGACCTGATTTTTAAAAATTAGTTTTTTACTATTTTGCTGTTGTTTAGTAGCCTGATAAACCAGAGTAGATGTGAGATTAAATGTGTAATTTAGTCTGGCGCCGATGAATGAAACATCGGAAGATTATTGATGAGAACAACCCGTTGTTTTTCAAACCATGTCTGTTCCTATTAGCCAACGCTCTGACCAATGAGCACAACTGACTGACGTAGTAACGGCGACAGAAAGCCAGTGGGGAATGTAAACAAGCAGCCTGTCGGTAAAACTGCAAATATGTCCCTCTTAAAAATGAATGACCGAAGAGCCTCTTCCTGCTCACGTTTCAACTGAAACCCCCAGGTCTAATCCTTCCAAAACTGATTCCAACGCTGAGTCAAAAATCACCATCAGAGCCAAGCGGTCCTTCACACACGACTATGCCAAGAGAGGGCCGCTGCAGATGGGCTACGGTCAGCCCTGGCTGCTGTTAGCCTCGGAGGTCCACTGGTTGCCGCCGTCCTCTTAACTTTGGAAATAGTTTTTTTAATTACGCATTAAATCAGTAAATGGACCATATAATGACACTTTAAAGGATAATATTCTCACCTCAAATGATCTTAGAATGTACTTTTATTGAACAACAGCAACAGAAAAGAGAATTTTTAACTTTCAATGGAGCGCTCCATTAAAAGCTACTGCTGTCGCAGTGCACGCTACTGTTCAATAGTTGTTGCCATCTTCCTTGTTGTGCTTTCACCAGCGTTGCGCAGCTTTGTCATCCCACCCTCAAAACCTGCCCGCTTTCATGTAAACAACTTTTGAAGGTCCTATATTTTGCTACATTTGAAAATAAAAAATAGTGCTGTAGCAATGAGGGGCCTCAGAGCATGTTTTTGCCATTTGTGCAGAAAAGCTCCTCTCAGATTAGGCAGAGAGTATGTACCTGAAATCTAATTTAGTCCTCTTCTAAATGAGTTGTTTTGGCTTTCCGGGCTCCTGTCCTCCCACAACCCACAACCAAGACAGCCAGTCAGTTCGTAAAGATAGCCTAGGATCACGGAATATTACTGATGGGCTAATACATACACTTCTGGACAGCTTATTTCCCATTGTGACATCATACAGGGAATGTTTTTCAAATAGACCATTTTGAGCACACATCAGCTAAAAGGTGCAGAAAGGCAAATGTGAAAGGTTTTTTGTTTTTGTTCATCAACCTCACACACAGGTTTTAGGAAAAATATGTTACAAATGTTTGTAATATGAATTTTGCATAATTAGGGACCTTTAAGTCTGAGATTATACCACTGCATAAAAACATGTTTATTTTTTCAAAAACGTATTTATTTTTTTCAAATTCATTCTTATAAGATGACAAGTGTCTTTTGAAAATTAACAGATTGTTTGAGTTTTAAATCCCAAAATAAATGTGTGTTGTATGTTGTCACTGCTGTCACTGCAAATGTATTCTTTACTGAATTACAACACATGCATTTTATCATCTATAGTAATAGTTTCCAGTTCACATGTCATAATATTGTGGTTTGTATGAATTACAAAACAAAGTCCCTTCTGTTTTTTATTTAAGATAAAGTTGCAAAAGGTGTAAAAGAAATCAAACAGTTCCATGTGAATGGTTTACTCAGGCATGTAAGATTCACATACCAATAGAGATGACATTTTTTGATTATTTTATCTTTGTTCCAATTCTACAGAGCATGCTGTGCACCTTCTTGCATGCTGTCCAGTATAATTTCAAGTATCCATGTCTGAGATGAGGTTAATTGTATAACTAAATGTAACTGGCTATCCGGGGCCAAACATATTGATTTTCCTTGATACAGGCTGAAGAAGAGGTACTGATAATTGGGTAGAATTAATATAAGGATAAAAGTTCAAAACACATCAGGAAAAAGCAAAACTGATGTTAATTAAAAGTATAAAGAGAAAATCTAAAATGAAAGCTTGTCTTATTATCTCTGCTTATTCTTAATGTTACCAAAATAATTGCCAGGTTCATATTTTAGACATATCTACTGGTTTTGTAAAGAGTTTCCAAACTGCAAAGCAGAAAGAACGGGTTTGTTCCAGCAGCTCATAAAGATTCAGTGACCATAGTGTTACAGGGCACCAATTAAGAAGCTTCCCCTGCTCTGGTAACCGTTGTCTCCTGACATTACTCTCTGCTTTACTGGTTCCAGTTTCTGAGGAACAGCCCTTAGCCTCTCTTTTTCTTCTACTTTATAACAAGCCTCTTAAACTAACATAAATTGACAAAAACAAAACAAAAAAATGACAAAGAATTTATTTTATGTCATGAGTTTGGTCTCTAAATTTGTACATTTATGGGTATTTGATTGTAATCTTTACTATAAAAAATAACTTTGGGTTATTTAATACTTTTGCCAAGAATATGCAGTTAGAATGTGCAGTTGTTTACTGTAAAAAACTCAATGTGATTGATGTGTGTAAGTGCTGGGGGTGGTATCTGGGTTGCTACTGTAACATAAAATTGCTGGTCTAAGTGAACTGTATAAGGGGCTAGATGTGCAGTTTCAGCCACAGGCCCCTGAGGAATAAACATCAAATAGCATTTTAGGCAGCAGGATGTTGAACACATCCTGAAACCAAAGACTGTGAACATACGATTACTGATGTTTCTTCTAAAAGCTGCTGCTAAGATGCAAATTGAGCTAGTCCTGCACACACAGCAAAGCTCAAGCATTAGCAACTCTTGAATTTATAATGGCATGCTGGGATGTATTTTTTCTCTTTTTACTTATTCACCAAGCTAGTCTACTGTGACCTCTTGAATCAGCTATTTTGCAAAGAACAATACAGTGTCCACAAAAAGCTGTGGAGTGTTTTAAACTTTGTCACATTTACAAATAAGGACTCATCTGTTAAGCTGTGTTTCATTTTACTGCAAAATAATTAAATTGAAAAAGTAAAAAGCCAAAATCTTATTCCGTTTGGTTATTTTATTTCACAACAGAGATTTCTTTATAGCACTGGGAAAATTCAGGATCATATAACCTCATCTTCACTTTTTAAAAGAAGTTCAGAATAATTGTAGTAGCAGCAATAACCATTTTGTCCATTAAATATTGTAATTCTCCAGGGTGCTCAGTTACTAAGAAGAATTTACATTGTTTGCTTCTATAGGGTTTTCACTCCCTAATATCTAGACAAAAACCATCGATAACTTAGCCTCTACTGTATCTTCTTTCTGAAATAGAAGAAGAAAAAAAACAACATTAACCATTTTAAAACATCACTTATTTTGGCAAAGCTTGAATTATTTTTTTTTTATTAATGGTTAAACAATTCTGTATTCTTTGAGATAAGAATGCAAAGTTCATTTACGTTGGATGGCAATGTCAGAGAAAATTCAGCACCCTACAAAGGGATTGATACCCTTGTAAAATGTATGGAAAAAGTTTTTAATTATAAATGCAAAAGCATAAAATCATAGTGAATATGTAGAGCTTGGGAAACCAATTAAAAATCAGCGGGGTCCGAATGAAGAAAACCAGTAAAGGTCCGGAAGCATTTTTAATTACATTCTGTTACTTTAAAAATGATTCAACAATGAAATAAAATGAGATTTTTATGCATCCATGTTAGACATCAAATTTTTAAAATTCAATGTCAAAAAATTGAAAATTTTTCCATTTTAAAATCTAACGTTTTTTTAGGCAGAGAACAACAATCGTTCAGTTTGGTATTTAGACAATTTCCTGATTCACATATTTTCTAAAACACCTGAACTGACCGTTTGTTCGTTTATTGTCTTTTTTATGGCTTAATGAGAGAAGTGAACTTAATGCTGCCCTGAAAGGCTTTTAAAACTGGGTTTGAATGGCGGCAAAGCCATCCTCAACCACATATCAAGGTGCTCACTCGTGAGCCTGGATCGATATTTATTTTTTGATTATGGTCATGGTGAAGAATCCTGCTTCACAGCAGCAGGTTGAGCCAAACATACTCAAAATATGCAGTGACATCTTTGAGCACGCCATTTCACTTTTCTTTCACCAGTTCACTGTGGTTCTTCCGCGGCCTCCACTTTCTCTTCTCGCTTTTTCTCATCGTTTTCTCCTTCTTTCCCATCGCCCAGCTTGCCAGAGGTTTGCCTGCTGTGTGTAAAAGGGGCTTACAGCAACGACCCAAACTGACACAGCTCATTGGCAAATTTGTAACACGTGTAGTGTGTTCCCAGACGCTCAGGAAGTGGCGCAAGTGAAGTTAGACACTGTTGTCGGACAACATGTAGTAATTTACAAATGTTTTAAATCAGGTTGTGTCCGGATTAGCCAGAGGTGGGTCTGCTAATACATGACCTCTGATGTAAAGAGTACAGGTTTTACTTTATGGGTAATTTCCTGAGTAGTAGTGACATTTTTTTGCTTTTGCTTTCACAAGTGGAGCAGTACGGCTGTCGCCATAGTTTTCAGCTTGATTTATGCATATAAATTGCTTTATTATAATCCATGCAGGGAGTATTACTGATTATATGTACACTGCAATGTACGTAGAACAGGAAAAATGAGAAAAGATGAAAAAAGAGAAGAAAAAATGGAGACCAATCTTTCCTCAATAAATAAATAAAAGAGAGAAAGCATGTTGTAATAGCTGACTTATTTGTACTTACCAGAGTAGCTGACTACCCTGGCTGTGTGTTTTCATTGAGTTCAACAGAGATACAGGCTTTGGAAATATTATTTTCTTTGTGGGATAGGTTTTAACATTACCACTCAAATTTTTTTATTTAAAGTCTGTGAACTTTGCTATGCAAAACAAAAGTTAAAACTGAACTGAAATCCAAACATCAATACACATTAGTATAGATACAGAGTGAAGCTATACAGGAAAAGGATACACACAATGTAAAAGGTTGTGCACGGATAAAAATGCATTATTTTAGCTGATTATTTTGGATGTGCATCAGTTAAAATTAAATGAATCACCCCTTTTTAGAGGGCTAAATTTAAGACTTCAGGGCTGCAACTAACAATTATTTTGTTAATCGATTAATCTATCAATTATTGATTCATTAATTAATTTATTCTAAATCGAACAGCCAGAGATTCACTATACAAGACTTTTATGAAATTAAGCCAGGTGAAACTTAAACTTTCCACTTGAGGAGCTCTGGATAGATCATATATACAGACAAAAGTCTTTTTAAAATCTTAAATCCAAAATCTTATATATCTTTTACAATCTTAACGATTAAGTATTAAGTAGTTAACAGTTATTTCAATAATCAGTTAATCATGATTAATCTAATAAATTTTTTAAGTCCTACTTTTGTTTTAAACCCCTATCTTACAAACAGGCAAAAATATCTTTCATTGCAATTGCCATTATATCTGTTTAGTGGAAATGGCAGTTCTTGGCAATGGCAATTCTTGACTGTTATGATCTATTTAAATATCTATAAAAAAAAATGTATACCAGTTGGTCCAATTTTGACTTTTCCTCTTCTTTTCGCAGTGGCAATGTACAGGGAGCCATCTCTTCATGACTTGACAGAGTTCTCACGTTCTGGCAGTGGCACACCCACCAAGAGTCGGAGTGCATCAGCAGTGCTCAACGGAGGCAAAGCCGTGAGCCAGAACGAGTCAACGTAGCGCGGTAGCCAAGCCCAGGCCTGGGCTCAAACCATGAAACCTTACCTCTCACAGAGCGGGAATCTAAGCAGACTCCGATCAACGTTCAGGACTAGCTACGACAATAATCCACACATTGAAACACCCAGATTTCATCAGTAAAATGTATTCATCAAGGCAGCATCTAGAATAAGAAACATAACCTCATAAAAATCACTCTTAACATAACCAAGATTATTTTTTGCTAAATGTTTATGTATAATTTTTGCCACATTCTTTTTACTGATCAGTTTCTTCATTCTTATTTATGATGTTTTTCGATCACTTATTTAGGTCATGCAAACACCAGTTACTTGTGCATATGTCAAACAGGGAAAACAAGTCTGATATGCAGGTGTTCAGGGCAGCCAGTAATGGTTCTTGTCCATAAAGGCTGCAGTGGGACAACGAAAGCCCTGATCACTATCTCACCCATGCTTCTGTGAATACAAAGCCTATAGACTCCCTGGCATGGCTCAGCCTCGTCCTCCTGGCCAGCCGGACGGTAGCTATCCTACGTCCTAATGCACACGCTCAGAGACTGAGCTCCTTAGCATGGGGAAATGAAGCCTATGTTTAACTGACCTGAAATATAAGATGTAGTGTGGCTCTCTCTCTGTTTGTTTATTTGTTCATTTTACCTTTTCTGTCTGAGAGAGATGCCACAGCTACAATTTTTGCTGACTAATTTTCTGAATTAGCAGAGAGATTTTCTTATTGTGAACTGTTTTTTTGTCAGAATCTCCTCTTGTTTTCTGCCCATGTCATTGTTTTGCATTTTGCTTAGTTGTTTGGATGGTTTCATTAAACCAAAGACAGATTGAAAGAGTGTCCCTTTAAGCTGCTAAAATAAAAAATGAAAAAAAAAAAAACAAGCCAACATATAGTACAGATAAAGATGGATGTTTCTGTTTTCATTGTACATTTTTGAGGAAATGGAGCAAAGCTTAAGGAGAGAAAAAGAATAACTTGTTGGCAACCTGGCTTATTGTTCTGCTTTTTGCTGATTTGCCCAGTAATGGAAGAATGGGTCGACTATGTAGTTTCTCCATTCCCTTATGTTAACACTGTATCACACTGTCTTTTGCTCTTGTCCTCGTGATTCGTTCCTTCTCTTTGTGCTTGTGTCATACTTAAACTCCTCCCAGCCATCCTTTTTTCTTCAGTTCTACTGACTGAATAATGTCATCAAAGGAGCATGGTGGATGCCCCCACCCCATCCCAACTATCCAGGATGCTTGTTATGTGTTTGAGTAACTTATTGTTGTGATATTTTCTATTTCAAAAAAGGAATACTGTGGACTTTTAGGTGGCTTAACATTTTATAGGAAACATTAAATTTATAAAAATGAAAAGCAAACAAAAAAGTACAAATACAAACTTCTTCCCTTTCTTGCACAGGGCATGTACACCAATATGTACAAAAAGGACCCTTTTTGTGGGCTATGTACTCTTTCCTTCGGCTAAATAACTTATTTCTAGTACATGCTTTTGGGAGACTTTTTCTTGATTCCTTCTGGAGGTGGTTTGTATTAGGTGAATCTATCTGTTGCATGGGAGAAAGCAGGGAAATGCTGGTCTAGAGCTGCATGATGTAGGCTATGTGTATTAACCCATGTTGGATCATGTGTTTCAAACTACCAGGCTAAATCTGATAAAACAGCATACACAGACAGGCACTGCGGCTGTCTGATAACTTCCAGTTGTTTATTATTTGTTGTATACACAAAAATGCACTGAATAAAATGTTTATATTAAGATATGCTTTTAAAATGCCTCAGGTGTTGTTATTTGTGTCAAAGTACTGTGTATTATACCATATATTATACTTTCTTTATCCATGCAGTTATTGTGCTGATCTCACTTTTACCCACATAATCACCAAATGTTTTATTTGAATGGGTAAAGCTGCTGAATGTTGGTCACATCAACAAAATTCTGTCACTGCAGTTTGGTCTTTAAAATTTTACAATTTTCATTAATCTGCAATTTTACAGATGCAATTAAATGAAGGGGATTTAAAATAATATCCTAGTATTTTATAACATCCTCTCCTTAATTTGGCTTACACAGTGAAACAATGGAAGTAATGCCTCAGCTGATTATCATTAATATACAATACAAAAAAAAGAAAAGAGGAGATTATTGCCTCTTGAATATAGTGATTAAAGAATATAGTAGCCCTAGCTTATTCAATAAATAGGGAAATGGGAAGTGGTGGTCTAATGGTAAGATTAAGTCCCTGACACTGTAAGAAGTCTGTATAATTTGTGGTTCTGATCCCAAAGACTGAGGGTCAAGAGAAAGACGTGCCAGGGTGCTGCACAATGGCAGCCTGGTAATGCTTCCTTAGGGATGAGTCCAAATTTTACTGTAATGTCCAATTTGAGATGACAAGAAAAGTTTTAAAACTTATGCAGGCAACTAAATCCAGGCAACTAAACAAGCATCTGAAAGTCATTTAAATAGGCATTATTTTCAGACTAACTTATGCGGCTTTATATATTATATATACAGTATTGAGTGTTTCCCACTAACTTACAGACAAAAAAGTAGACTGATATCAAGGTGGTTGGGTTGCCAGCTCTTTTGTGAATTTCCAGCTTTTTAGTGTTATAATTAATGTAAAGAAACAGTTTTAAGAATTACGTATCAAAAGACTGACCAATGGAAAAAAGGGAATACGAGAATTATCTTTTTGTACCAAGCAACTGAGGCTTGTAGTAATTTATTTTAATTTACCATACAGAGTTGTTTTTTTAAAACAGTAGGGAGTTAAAAAGAAGTAAGAAATATTGAAAAAAAAAAATTATAGATTATTACAAATCTAAGAATAGAGCAGTTTTACAAAATACTTAAATTATAATAAAGTACCACTTTTGACAAGTCTTAAGGTAGTGTTTGGTTTGCCTCATTAAAACATATCTAAAACGGAATAAAACTTGTTTTTTTTCTTTGTTTTTTTGGTTATTCAACTATCATCCTCAAACATGGGTCTGGACTGCTGAGATCTCATTAAGCCCACCAACAGTGGAGACAGAAGAACTAATCGGCCCCGGTAATATAGGCCCTGTTATGAGTTACTCCATTGTTCATGTAGTTTGACATCCCACTACTCCCTTCATTTCCTTCTGCCCCTCTCTAGACTCCATTCATTACCACAGGACAGTCCAATTCATTAGTGTGGGCTGCCAGCCTTGTTCTAAGATAGTGATGTGAAGAGAAGCTACTTTTCCTCTATGTATTCTCTCTCTTTGCCTCTCTTCCCCATTCGGTCATTTTTTCCCCCTTTGCATGGCTAGACTAATGAGTCTTCATGGAGCCATCCAAAAAAAGGCAAATCAAAGCTGTGTCTTTCGTCCGTAAATACACTCCAAGAGCTTCAGGATTTGTGATTTTGATATCAGGCTGAAACATTCAGTCACGAGTCAGACGGAGCTGACAGTGCTGTGATATATCTGAGCACTGTGTACCTGTGAATGCAATAACTCATTACCCTTTATCACTGCCAGTACAGGCTGTGCAATGTCTTTCGTCTTATGAACACAGTCTTTGTGTCTCTTATGTCTCCCCCATTACTTTGCATTTTTTTCATCTATCTATTTTATTTTTTTTAGCTGTGAATGCTGCTATAATTACCTTTTTTTCTAAAGCTAACTGATAAGTGCCACAGCACTGGTGTCATTTTATTTTTACGCATTTCTCACCACCATTATTTTTTTCTTTGCTTTTCTCAAATTAGAAGCAATAATGTTAAGATATAATGTTGAGTAACAACTGTTCAGAGTAGTTATTGCAAAATGAAATGTGAAGAGAAGAATGGCTGAAATATTTTGTACAGTTGCAGAAGTAGGAAATGTAGAGGTGTTTTAAATTTTAACTGAAAAAAAAAACGATCTGATGACACTGGAGATGAAATTGCACGCTACATGCCAACTGGAATCCTACCTACTCTGGAATAACAGCTTACTGCTGTTAAGATGAGCCTTCTTAAAGCAAGAGCAGCATTTTTCTCCTCATTAATAGAGGAGAATAAGAATAATCTGAGATTTATATTTAATACAGTTGTAAAACTCACAAACTCCCTGTCCAACCTCCCTTATGCTAGCACAAAGGATTTTATAGTATTTTTTATAAATAAGATGTATTCTATTAAAATTATTTCTTGTTTTTCTCTGGAAGGTGAGGCAGCATCTGAGGTAGCCATAGAATCTTAACTGGGTTTAGACTGTTTTTCTTTCAGAGTTATCAAAACTATTATCGTCATCTAAAGCCTTCAACCTGTATGAAAGATCCAGTTCCAAGCATCTTATTTAAGGAAGTATTCCCTTTGATTTCCACCTCAATTTTAGATGTGATTAATCTATCCTTGTTACAGGGTTATGTACCCCAGGCTTTTAAGATATCTATAATTAAACCTTTATTAAGAAACCGTCTCTTGACCCTGATGACTTGGTCAATTATACACCTATATGCAATGTTCCTTTCTTATCTAAAATCCTTGAGAAAGTAGTTGCCAAACAAGAGTGTGAAGAGTTTCAGTCTGGCTTTAGAGCTCATCATAGCACTGAAACAGCTCTGGTGAAAGTCACAAATGATATTCTCATAGCCTTAGATAATGGACTTGTGTCTGTACTAGTTCTGTTAGATCTCAGTGCTGCATTTGATACAGTTGATAATAAAATTATTTTACAGTGACTTGAATATTTTGTAGGAATTAAAGGAACAGCACTCGGCTGGTTTAAACCTTATTTATCTGACAGATTTCAGTTTGTTAATGACAAATCATCTTCATGTGGTGTACCACAGGGACCAGCGCTAGGGCCAATTCTCTTTGCTATATATATGCTCCCAATTGTTATATATATAAGACAGCATGGAATTAATTTCCACTGTTATGCCAATGATACTCAGTGATGATTGGTCAGTCACTTCTTTTGGATGGTATTACGTTGATCTCAGATAACAAAATAAAAAAATCTTGGTGTTATTTTTGATCAGGACCTGTCATTTAAATCTCATATCAGAGAGATTTCAAGAATTTCCTTATTTCTTCTCTGGAAAAATGTGAAAATTGGAAATATCCTGTCCAAGGGTGATACTGAGAAACTAATCCACGCATGTGTTACTTCAAGGGTGGACTATTGTCATTCTTTTCTAACAGGAAGTCCCCAAACTGTAGTTAAAAGCCCTCAGCTAATCCAAAATGCCACATCCAGAGTTCTTATAAAAATTTAAGAGAGATCTTTTCTCTCTTATCGTAGCTTCTCTTCACTGGCTTCCTTCTGATTCCAGAGTGGAATATAAAGTCCTCCTTTTCAAATATAAAGCCTGAATGGTCAAGCTCTGTCTTACACTATATCAGAGGTTTGATTGTTCCTTATGTTCCTAGCAGAGCACTTCATTCTCAGTCTGCATGTTCACCTGTGGTTCCTAGAATTTCAAAAAATAGAACAGAAGGCAGATCTTTTAGTTATCAGGCTCCTCTCCTGTGGAACAAACTAACAATTTTAGTCTGTGAGGCAGACACCCTGTCTACTTTTAAGGCTAGGCTTAAAGGCTTTCCTTTTTGATAATGCTTATAGTT